TTTATATTCAGTGGGTGCCAATATCGTGCAACCTGAAACAAGATGATCAATCGTTTCTGGGTATTTATCACAGATTATTATTATTATTATTATTATTATTATTATTATTATTATTATTATTCTTTGTTATCGATATTGCAATTATTTGTTTACGGAAGGTTCATACATTTCAGTTGTGGTTTAAATGGCTTAAAAATGGTGATTGTCCGGCTTCTTGCTCTTGAAGACGATCCATCTTGAATGAAAAGATATTGAAAGAGACTACGAAATTGGACCTGCGTCAGAGCATCTAAAATTTAGCGCGAAAACTTAACGTGCCATGTTCAATTGTCCACAAACATCTCAAGCGAATTAGAAAAACTTGCAAAAAAGAATTTGCGTTTCTCGTGAACTTTCACTTGAGAAGCGAACACAAAGTTCCATCTGAAACGACCTTTTAAGCAGGAATGCCAACCATTCATCTTTGTATCACATTGTTATAGGTAATGAAAAATAGGTGTTGCATGTCAATAGGAACGAAAAAAATAATGGTTATCACAAAATGAGAATCACCAAACGCAGGAATTCATCCACAGAAGTTTTTGCTTTGTGTTTGATGGAATATGATAGTTGTTGCCCATTGCGAGCTAATGGAACATGGAAGGATCATCACTGAATACGTTAATTAGTGTTATTTTTCAGCATAACAATGCCTGGCACACTCTGCCAAATAAACTCAAGCAATAAATAAAATTGTTAGGAAAGGAGATTAAAAAATTGCCGTCTCCTTGGAATGCAGTCATTGAAAATGAAACTGCTTACATTTTGCTCAATCAGTTTTATTTAAATAAATTCAAATTTTTATAAAAGACTTCAGTCACTTACCCATTACCGTAACGTAGCGTCCCTATGCCTCTCCTATAAATATTTTCATGGTAATTGTTCTGATTAACTTTCCTCTAGGGTACCTAGACTTTATGAATTTAAGCACCGTATAGCAACTCGGATTGAGGAATTGGAGAGCTGAGTACCAGTCGAATCCTTTTCTTCTCACTGCACATTTTAACAACATATTCAATGTTTTGTTTCGCCATTTTTGTTTCTTATGAATTTAACCGCTGTACTAGATTAAAATGGCTAAATTTAAACGTAAGTTCTATGCTTACAGTTTCTTCTTTTACACTTCTCACTTGTGAGACTCTCTTATGGGCTTCTTAATTCCTAGTCAATTTTCACCTTCAATACTTTCAAGGCAATCTTTTGTCTTCTCAATTCTTGTTCTTTTATTGTTCTCTCTTCTTAATAGTGTTTTTATTTTTCTTATACTTTCACACCCAATAACCCCATAGCGTAGCTTCCCTCTGTCTTTTCTATAAATACTTCCATGGTAATTGTTCTGATGAACTCTTCTCTATGGTACGAATTTAAGCGCATAACTAATTAGCGGAAATGTTTTATCTTTTCATAGTTAGAATGGTTAGATGTAACCGTAATTTCTATGCTAACAGTTTCTTTCTCGCATTTCTCGCTTGTGGAGCTCTCTTTTGGCTTCTTGCTTCCCAGTCAATTTTGGTCTACAACTATTTAAATGCAATGTCAATCGTAAAACGTAATCACTTTCCCAACAGCCTAATATATTGAATAATATAAATAGTTAATTTGGTTTATGTTAAATTCCGTGCTAAGGTGGATAATAGAAGAAAGGTTTATTGTACACAACCAGTACAGTATGAAATACGGTACAGTTATACACACAGGTCAATCTAGTAGTGAGTGCCACTAATTGGAAGGTCAGACGTGCTTGCATCATCTCTCTCTTACACTCCTCTTTCGTAGACAGTTGACTTTATAGGTACTTACTGCCTATAATGTAATCATTCATGGGGGGGGCTGGTTATTCCATTACATCAGTTTATTAGATAAAAATAAAATTTTTTGTTATTATTGTTGTTTTCGACATTAACTTTTTTAACAAAATTTACTGATTTGTTTCACCATTTTCTGTTGTTTTTGATAATTCCATCCTCTAAGAGCCTTTGATATTCGCCGTAGAGAATTGTTCCATATGTCCTTTGATGCCTTCCAGGGAATTTAAATGGTTTTATGAGCCCATTAATTCCCATCGTCCCACTTGCTGGTTTTTCTATTAAGACAGTAGTTCTGAAATTGGCAAATTTACCCATATTCGTCCTAATTTGCAATTTCAGGATTTCCTTTCTTAACAGAACAGTTTGATCTTGTCATTCACTGCAACTGACTCTCCACTAGCCGTCGTAGACTCCACCTTTCATCTGGATATTTTTTAGAATTTTAGATCAAGTAACAATAATTCTCCAGCACCTTCCTCAGTATCCTCGCCGACCATGGTTCTTCCTCTATTCATGCCTCTATCATTTTGATTATTTGGGGAGTGGCTCCAAGTGAAGCAATTACTATAGGCACAACTATAATAACTCCAGTTTCTTAGATTTTTCAGTTCTCAGACAGGGTTCTGTTAATTTTCTGTTTTTTTATTATTTGTTTTATCTTAATACAAAACTGTTGCATCTTTAATCTTTTTTTAAATGCTTCACAAGAGCGCTCCAAGTGCGCTATAAATTATAAGTACAACTGTCGCCTTCATATTCCATAATTGTAGTTGTTGTTTTTTTGATTGTTTGTTTGTTTTGATTTTTTTGTTTTGTTTTCTTTTTGTTTTTTGGTGGTTTTTTTTCATGTTCTCATCCCAACTTCCTGATGTTTTCCCAGTTTTTACTCTCTCAGTTTTACTCTGGGATCTGGTGGAGCTGCAACATCCACGTTCTGACATGTCTTCTTTTCATTGTTTACAATGATCAAATATGGTCTCATGGCCTAGATTGGGTGTCCCGTTTAAATTCCAAAACCTGCATAGTATTTCAAATTTCCTATTCCCTAAGATGAGTGCCATATTGAGCTAAAAAGTAGTGAATTGCACTACTAAATTTTGAATTAGCTTTATTCAAATTAGTAGTTTTATGCTCAACTTCAAAACAGTCCTCTTTCTGATTCACTCCGTACCAAAACCTGTCGGCTGCATGTGAACGCTACGAAAGCAAAATTAAAAATAAAAAAAAATCTCTCTCTGCGAGTATTGCATCTGGCTCACAAAACAAATCCTCCAAGCCAATCACGAACGTTACCGTTAAAAGAAAGGCATAAGAAAAAACGCTGAGTCATGTATCCATTCTGACTGCTTAAAAGAACCCGCTCGCGACACACATGACAGTAGGCAGGGAATCACAGAGTTCACCAGTGGCCTACTGGTCAACCGACCCGACTCATGTTTCAACACCAGGCCCTTTCAGCCGACTCCTCTTTCCTCCAGGTTGCTTCGCTCACCCAAAAAAGAAACATTCTGCCTTGATCTTTTTTTATCGGTAATACATAGAATATTATTTCAATATATCTTGTCTCCTTTTCGTTTCGGCTTATCGTCATACGTTTTTTTTTTTTTGTTTTTTTTTTTTGTTTTTTTCACTTGCAACCATACGCGGTATATAACAGTAGCTTAATTTAGCACTTTAAAAAATACCCCCCAACAGGACAAGTGGCAAAATGAAAAATTAAACAACTACATCCAACAAACGCAACTCAGTTATGGTCACCCTGGGAGCGCACCTGGAAATATATGCCCACACAACCTACTCCAACACCTCGTAGATTCCATATCAATTAGCGTTATTGCATTTAGTCGACTACAAAAACAGGTTTTATTTCATCATTAAAATCACAAAGGCTGAGTACAAAAAGATAAAAAATCCCAACGCGGGTTTTAGCATTCTCCAGTGGTCGAACGCTTTTCTGGTACCTTCAAGGCTTTTTAAAAATCTTTTAAAATGTATTGCGGTCATTTAAAAATCCTGTTTGAAGTTTTAATTATGTTAAGCTGTTTAATTTGCTAAGTTTTCATAGAATCGAAGTGAAGGATATCAGTGAACAAAATTATGTGTCCAAACATTTCCTACAAAACACCCTTTTCATAAATAAATACCTTCATAGATGAAGAACTAACAGAAATTTTATTAAAATCTGTTGATGAACAGATTTTTGGTAGATACTTGGGTGTTTTGTGCACCAAAACTTTCTCGGGCAAATTATTAAGTTGTACTGTCTTATACAACGTAAAAAAGAAAAGAAGGGAAAACTTGAAAATCTCGTGGTATAGTGTCTCAATTTATTACTGGTGTCGTATTTTTTTAAACCATTTCAACCCCAAGTAAGACAATAAGACCACTAAGACGCAAGGGGTTACTGAGTGTAAGAGAATATGGGGAAAAGAAAACATTATTAATGGAGAGAGAACAATAAAAGAACAAGCATTACGAAGACAAGAGATAACGATTGACATCCTATTTAAATTTTTGAAGATCAAAGTTGACTGGCAGACAAGAAGCCGGAAGAGAGTTCTACAAACGAGAAAATGCAAGAAAAAAAAAACTGTTATCTTACGTTAACATCTAGCAGCCACTCCAGCTGTAAAATTATCAGATTTTGCCGCTAATCTAGTATTGCGCTTAAATTCATAATGACTAAGTAACAAAGATGAAAGATAACAATTTCCATGAAAATATCTATAGAAAAGGCCCAGGGAAGCTGCGTTACGGCGGTGGGAAAGTGACTGAAGCCGAGATGCTAAGTCAGGACCAATAACATTGCAGATTCTTCTTTAATAAATTATCATATAGAAAACAACTAATAAAACCAACATCTCTTTGTTCTGTGATATACATTGGCTGGTTGGTTGTTTTTGTTTAGCGATATATCAACTTCTATGGATTATCTAATACCGAAATCTAAATATTTTGTATGCAATTTTGTTGTATTTTTGGTGATAATAATGGTTTAGTGATGCAAGCCTTGGGTGAGGAGAAGCGGTGGATTCATACTTCGCAAAGTTTTTTACGGTTAAGTGAATATAACAAACTCAACGGGAATTGGAACTCAGCCCTCTGATTAATAATTTCGAGCCATTATCCATTACACCATGTGCATATCCAAAGCTTACAGCACCTGGTATTCCCAAGCGGTCACATATCTAGGTACTGACCCGGCTGACGTTGCTTAACTTTGGTGATCCTATTGGAACTGGTGTTTCAAAATGCTATGGCCGTGTCATTTAATTTAATCGGTATAATGCAAATAAACAATACAAATTCGTATTTTCTTAAATGATTTTGATCTGCCTGGAGTTATCATTATTTATATTTGGATTAATGTCCACATCATTATTGCTCTTATTATGTCGCTTCGGCCATTGTGCTCTCCGGCCTTCTTCAAGTTTCTGTTAATCCGGATCAATTTGGTATTGAAACTTTTATTTAGTTTAAAAGAGGTTCTCCTTCTGTAGTCCATGACTAGGTCCATCTTCTTCGTAGTACTAGCCACTGAGTTTGAGTCTACCCGGCTCAAGGATTGAACTCACTTATACTATAACACTAAATCCACAAAGCAACGCTTTAATCCACTAGGCTATTGTCACGTGGGACAATGCTGAAGCTCCTCTGTTGATGCTTTTCTTTGCTGCTGAACTTTAACTTTAACCTTTCTCTTTTTTTGGCAGGGGGTTAATGATTCATATATTTCTACGCTAGGTCTACTGCGTAGAAATATATGAGAGTCATTTACACACACACACACACACATATATATATATATATATATATATATATTCAACACCATCACTTGATAAGACACCAGAAGTGTAGAAACAAAATGGCTATTTTTGTAGTGATTTTATAACATGTTATAATTTTCGAATAAATAATGATATTTGCTCTATTCTGTATTGAGCACACTTTTAAGAATAGTATTTGTTGGTTATTGGAATTTATTCCGTATACAACAATCCTATACTTGGTTTTATATATATATATATATATATATATATATATATATATATATATATATATGAAGACACGGTAGAGTCGGCTTTTCGATGTTTCGCCATCTTTCCTTTGTTTTTCGTATAAATGTAATCATCAATTAAGTCAAAATTACAAGAAATAACTGTTCTAATCTAAAAGTCTGTTAAACTAAAATAAAATAAAAGTAAAAAACAGTTATCGATATAAAAGAGCTCTTTCAATATTTAGAACAAATTCGAAAATTTAAACATTTTAACACAAGCAGAAACAGCAAGCATGAGAATTCAGAACACTAAACTAGGTCACTAACAATTTTTCAAACACAAATATCTTCAGTTGTATATATTTTGTCTAATCTCATGACGATAAAATAAGTTTCATGGGCTTTTTGATGCTGTTTTGTTTTTACTTTTATTTCGTTTTGTTTCTTTTATTAGTGAGAATTCTTTTTTTTTTCTTCATCAAATGCTCGTTCAAATAAAAACATTTTTGTAGTGGAAGATAGAAATTTATTATATTTACGATGGGGTGCAGAAAAGCCTTTCGGTCAAACCAAGAAACCATTCCAAAGAAAATCTGATGCTCGGTCATTTGGACACATTTTTTGGGGGGGGGGGTCGGGCTGATAGCTTTTCAGTGCTTCCCTCATACTATTTGGGGACTATACTCTACAAACAGTTCCAGTGCCTTTGATGTGGTCGAATAATAAATCTTAGCAAACTTCAACCCGAACGTTAGGGTTTTTTTTGTTTTTTTGTTTTTTATTTTAGCGCAAACACATGCAGGACTTAGCGAATTTTAGTTTCTCACATTCAGGTAAGTTTTTTGTTTGTTTTTTTTTTTATATGAAAACGTGTTGATTTTCTGTTTGACTACTACCCTACAACTCTTACTACTACTACCTTTACTAGTGCACTTACTAATGTATATGAAATCTAACATGCAATATGTGCATCTGTTGTAATATGCAAAGTATTCAATATTGATGGAGTAGCGGTAGATTTGCAACGTTGCGTCTGCGGGGGAAAAGGTTGCATAGTGGAAAATAACTCATACCTCACAAGACCGTGCAAATAATTTTGAACTCTATCAAAGCTGGAGATTGAGTAATGAACAGTTACTTTCCAAATATGGCAGCATGTTTAACGTAATCTCACTTTACTCACGAGTCATCATTCAAGATAAAACTGATAATTCTGTGTATCAAACAGATTCAACATATTGGGCAATAACCGGAGTATAACAAAGTTGTCTACATGGAATTAATGTACGCGACCTAATTAATTTGTTTTTTACGACTTATCAACCTCTTTTAGGTTATTTAAATCCGAAAAATACTTTCGATTGTAAACCTATTTTGGATCTTCTTTTTGTGCGAATGGATATTGCATTAACAATTTTTGAAGATTATGATAATATTTTCAGATACAAATCCTACTATTTAACCCATACCCGGGGAAAATAAATGGTTTCATACCTTTTTCTACAGGTATCTGTGTGTAAGTGAATATAACAAACCCTACTGGAATTCGAACCTGTTCTCTAAGTTCTCATTCCAAACCGGTATCCGTTACTGCAGGTGCACTTCCTTACACTACCTAAAATACGGCAATGATGAAAATATAACAACTGGCAACACGGATATAACATCTAGACACAAATATATCTGGCAATGTAACTATTAACGAAATACAAGTAGTCCAACCCAAATATTAGCCTCCGTGATTTATCTACATAACAATTTAGCGATAAGGAAACTGTTTTTATTTCATTCACTTCAACTTATTATTTTGTTAGATCTCAACCAGATATGATTCTATCGATTTTAATGATTTTATAGGGATTATTATTGATAGAGTAAGAATACAAAAGGAGGCGAATGAAGGCATGTATATAGAAATGTATATTCCGGATACACAAACTCCTATTAATGAGACATTTTGAGAAGAATTCTTTGTTGGTTTGGTAGAATTATTTGATATACCTGTATATAGTGAAGTAAGCTCAGGCCATGGTAAAGTGTGTATTTTCTATTTTGTGTTCAATTCGACATGGGGTTTGCTGGTGGTTAAAATGTCTCCCACCTCGAAGGGAACTAATACATGTCCTATCTTTAAGGCATACTGTAGTTAAAAGAAAAAAGATAATGAAATATTGCGCCCTTTTCCTCGTATACTTCTCTTAGCACTGCCGTCTAGTGGTTGATAGCGGAAGTTATTTGACAGAAAAGTATGGTAACCCTACAGTTTGTCATATGCTCATACAAAATCTGACACATAGCGGCAATTTTAGATTGTACTAAATACTTATGGCTCCATTACTGTTCAAGTGGGTTGATATTTATCGTTGTTTTTATGCGAATCTAACTTATAATTACGAGCTGCGGTGGAGTAATGGATATCGGCTTGGATTGAGGAATCGGAGAGTTCGAATTCCGGTCGAATCCATTACATTCATTTTCGTGCTAATACCCTTGGGAAAGGTATGAATTCTCCACCCAGCTATTGGTAAATAGCAGGTTTTATAGCCTTAGATGGCAACTGGTTTACCACACAAAGAAATGGCAACCTACTGTGGGAAAAATTCTGCCTCGTCAGTCATGTATCGAAAGATACATGATCACCTAAGCGTGTATCATGCATGGTACATAATTGACTGATTATATAGTTATTGCACTCGACTTATGAATGATGTCAAAGAAACTATGGCGTCAACGAGAAATCTATATAGAATTTTTTTTAACTATTAAAATATATATTTTTATATATATTATTTTTATATATTTTATATTTTTACTCTTTTTTAACCTTTTTTTATATTTTTAATCTTTTTATTTAACATTTATTATATTTTTTAATTCTACATGTGTCTCTCGGGATTTTATTCTGATAATGTTTTCCTAACTAATATTCTTGATATTTGCTAAATGTAACATCATTCAAAACAGTCAAATACAAAGATATGACGGATAGTGTGTTGTACAAATGACAAACCAAAGGAAAGGAGACCTCTCCTAGAATATGCCCAACGAGTTTGTCATCCATGGCTTATTGAAGATATTCAAAATAATTGAAGTATTTCAGAGGCGTGCTACTAAAATGGTTTTCATAAGTTTACTTCCGATCAGAAACTAAACTTCTGTAACATGTCCTTAGAAGAAATCAAGGTGATATAATTGAATCATTCAAGATTTACAGGTATTTATTAAAGTATTTTTTAGCTTAAAAAGACAATAGTAAACATTTAAGAGAGCATAATAAAACTTTAATCAAGCATGACAGCAAGAAAGATGCTCGTTTTTATTATTTCTCTCTAATATTCAATAACAACTGGAATGAATTTATAGCAGCGTGGGGTTTAGGTGTTAAAATAAACAGATTTGATTTACCCACACCAAGAAGGTTAATGAAGGATGATAATGACAAGGAAACACACGGGTAATTTTAACAAAACAAAATAAGGAATTTATTTACGTATTTACACGCTAGAAGTAGTGTCAGTAGCTGGTTTCAGGAAAATAAATCAAAATTCTTAAAATGCGTAGTTTTAACGTATTGTCACGAAGAGGAAATGTTCATACAACAGATTAAATGATCTGGCACAAAATAATATTCAAAAATGATTAAGACAAAGGTTAGAGAGTTTGTTGCTCACTGAAGGGTTATATGGTTTGTATACGTTCAATAGTAGACGAAGAGAAATAGTTTGAAATACTTAGCTTTCTTGATTTGTTGAGAGAAAGTCCTTTGAAGTGTCGGAATGCTGGTTAGAGGCCGATAAGATAATTGGAGAGTAATTTTACACTGGCGAGAACTTCGACGCTGGTCACGAGGAACTGAAACGAAACCTTTAGCATGACTTCAGATACTCTTCTCTGATTAATTTAATTGTTCCTCTCATTTTATATATAAAAAATATGGATTTCGCGTAATCTAGCGAATTTATTTCCATCTTCTTCTTGGCTGGCAGGTTAATTTCTGTGAAGGTAAGGTTCTCATTGGTCCAAAAACAATTTCACATAGGCGAATTCCTTTCCTTCTTCTTCCTCAGATCACTCGAATTTGAAGGGAGTGGGTGAAGGGAGTTATTATTATTTCACACTCACTACAAACTTATAGATAAAACAGTTCGTGCAAGAAAAGTTCAGAAATTTAAACACGTGCTAAAAGAAACAAAAGACAGAAAAAGCAGAGAACACTATGCATCTTCTATTCTTGTCAACCTTTTTGACTTATTATTAGAATTTCAATTTTTCATTAGCACTATGGAATAACACAGTAATTCCACCTATATTTTACGCGCGCGAGAATTTTCCTCCCTTCCTACCACACTTGTGCGTGTGTGCGCACGCGCGGATTGCACCCTTTCCTCTCTCGTTTAATTAGACATAGCAGTAGCCATCCTCTTGCTGGCTACTCCTGATAGCTGTCTAGAACGGAATTTGAATTTTTTCCCGCGCGTTTTCTTGACGTCACGGACGCCCAGCGTTCCAACCAGTTGCATCCCGATTTTCGAGCTAGCTAGACGGGCAACTCATTTATTCCGTGCCCTTAACCCATACGCGGGCCGGAATATCTTATTTATAACTACTTTGAACCTTCTCCGTTTTCGACTAGAAAACGTAGAGATACACGACACAGTCGTCAGTATATATTTTTCCAGGACAACTTGTCTTGATGCGAACAACTTTCGAACATTCTAACTACTTTGAACCAGTACCTAAAAAAATATTACATACACTCACAATGCCAAACTCCACAGTGAGTACTTTTCATATTTGTGTACACACATACACCTTGTGTTAACAAGTCATTTTTTTCCAGAACTTTCATTCTGATGAAACCTTTTCCCGCCTTGTCCATCTTGTTTTCTGTTTTGGCGCGGAACACTATCACTGATGGTCGACGAGACAACTTACTTGTTCTAATGTAATAAAAATTTCATATGTTTTGTGACCAGACGCCTTTTGTCATTTAATTCCGGCTATCTACTTGTATTATTATTTATGCACTTGTTGATTGAACCCTTTTCCTCACTAAGTTCACTCACGCAACATATTCATACTTTGCTTGTGGATTCGGTAGTTTTGTGTAGTGTCTGGCACAAGGCCACTTTTTAATAAGCCAGTACTGCACGCTACCGAGTCCGTAACAGCACGACGATAAGAAAGAAATGATCTTCGTCTTTTGAAGTTTTTAATTTTTAATATCAAGCTTATAGTTCAAAGTGATTTGGAACTTACTTGAAGTGAAAATATTTAGTGTGAGCGCGATTTAAACTGTTTTACTTATTTTCATAAGATTAATAATAGAATTCGTTCATTGGATGTGGCTTGAGGTATATTCATACATGCTGTTGGGATTTTCCGGTTTATGTGTGTGTTTGTTCTTGTGCTCGGCAGCGTGAGTGGAATGAACAAAAAAAAAACTTGAAAATAACTATTCAACAGCTTTTATTTCTGGCTGAAAAGAGAGAGTGCAAAATAGTAGTATTTTATCCCTTTTAACAAAGTTCTTGAGTATTGTAGCTGTTTTTGTTGAGAGAGATATTTCTCTGCTAGTCCCCACAGGAGGAATGAAAAGACCGAGTGTGAATCCGCTAGGACAGGCCTCGTCTTTTGCAGCAAGGGATGCGTGTAGTTTTCCTTTAACAGGCGTCTCGAAGTCAGATTTCTCTGCCGGTTCCCACGAGATGGGCGAGAAATCTCACGTCAAGTTGCCAGGACAGGCTTCATCTTCTGCAGCAAGGGTTGTGTGTAGCCCTTCGAGTTGGGCTTGAAGGTTGCGACCGCTGAAAAATAGAAAGTGGGCAACAGCTGAATAGGGCTTGATTAAGGCTTTTATGACCTCTGGGACTCCCGGGTGTACCCTGCTGATTACTTCAGTTACTGCTACTACTGAATCGAGCAAAGTAAGGAAGCCCTCACATGCCACAATAGCCAACATGTGAGACAATTTTTAATACTGCCACTTAGCTAGTCGGGTTCACTGACCCAAACCATCTTCATTTTACCTTTCACCATAACTTCGCATTTATGATGAATCTTTTCTGCAACAAACACCAAAAAGTTACTTTCTCTCTATGGTATAAGGGAAGTAACTTTATAAGATAGCACTAAATGCAAGGGAATTAATTGGTTCGGTATGGTTTCAAAATTGTTTTCATCTGGTGAATAAAAAAATATAGCAGAATGTTATCATTGGGATTTAAACCCTTATCCACTTCAGGAATTTGAATTTACGTACACAATAAAGCATATTTTTTGTTTGCTTAGGGCTATTATTTTTTTTTTTAACTGACATGTTCGAAAAAATAAATACAACCCCTTTCTTTGTAGTAGTGTAATTGTTCCCATCATAATTTATTTTTATTTCTAAAAAAAATACTGACTTCGTAATATATGGAGGGGGTAGTTATCTGTAACTTTTGTCTAGCTAGCTAGCAGTTGTAAAAATAGGTTTTATGCTATTAACTATAATAATAGAATAAAAATAAAAATTCACTTCCATAAACTAGGCAAAAGAGGAAAATATTTCAGATGGACAAATACAAAAACAATAATTCACAATTCAGATCCCCCAAAATATCCGAGTTAAATTATTTTAAAGTTTCAATGATGTAATTAAGTGATACTCTATCCATTACTTTACTGCAGATAACATTGTTAGCTAACGCATGCGCACTGGTGGTTTCACTTCACGCGTGTTCTCTCTTTGTAGCTTCATTCCGTAATTGCAATTATGCTTCGATCTGGGGTAAATATGAACAAAAATGTACATTTTTAAAATTATGCTGTGAATATGTTACTTGCAATTTTAGTGTTGTTGATGTTTAATATCTCTGATTAACTGGCAGTAAAATCATTTCACTTTACTAACCCTTTTTTTTACCTTTCACTTCGATGTACCGTCGTAACTTTTGTTTTGTTTTTTATTTAAAGTTCTATTTTTTAATGAATTCACGATATCTGTTTATTTCTTTATGGATTCGTAAATGAATAAATGAAAACCTCTAAGTTTTAGACCTTAAAAGAATGAAAACAACAAATTTTTAGACCTTAAATGAATGAAAACATCGTCTAACCTTGTGAAATTTTTAGGCCTTATATAAGAAGCGTAGCGGAAGCCTTAAGTCTCCAGATGTGTAAAGTTAAAACTAAAAAAAAAAAAAGTCATATTTGATTTATTCTTGACCTTAACGTTTATTGAATTGTAGGATTTCTTTTATTAAATGTTTTTATTTTTATTCATTTATTTTTCTATGAAGAAAAAATATCCCTACCTGTGAAAACATAAGTAAAAGTTGTTAAAAAGTAAAAACCGTAGTTGTCATTGGCGCTTTAATTCTCTGCAATCTCTTATTTTGTTTTTGGTGTGACTGGAATAAAAATGAATCCTGGCAGATTTCCTTATTTTGGTGATACAGGATTAAAAAAAAAAAAAAAGTTAAATTGATTATGGGAGAGAAATGGATTAACGAACAACCACTAAGTATTTTTTTTCAGCGACTGATTCGTTTCTAGGTATTTCAAGTAAAAAAAAAATAAAATTCTTTCTAATATGACATGAAACTCAAGTCAAGGTCACATTTTCACGGTGGCTCATTCAGAAATTGTAGCTAACATCAAAACAACCTTCTCATTCATTTTTATTGTTAATTCTTAATTAGTGCTTCAGCTAATTGTTAAAAATTTTATATTCTTTCTTTACTTTTTTAACACAGTGAGTGAAATGAAAAGCAACTAAAAACATTTGAAATTAAATATCTTTGTTTTATTGAGTTTTACTTTTTTTATGTTACAATTCAGAGTTGATTTTTTAGGTAGATGAGATCCGATTTAAAAAAAAAAATGATTTACTTTCCTCAAAGCCTTTTTTGCGTGCTTCAACATTGAATTTCTATTTTTCATAAAAAGTATTTTTATCATGACTTTAAAAAAAAAAAAAAACATATTCATAATAAAATAATAATTTCCATAGGTCATGAATAGTTTCTGAAAGTTTCATTTAAAACCCTACAATTATTTCTATTTTTGCAAGATTTTCAAAATTAATGTCTGTCATTAAAAAAAAAAATGCACAAAAATTTGCTATGTTGTTTTTAGTACTTCCGCCGACGATGAGAAACAAAGGTTTTGTTTTTGTTAAATCAAGTTTGAATGTTCTAAAAAGACGGAAACTTTTTTTAAAAAATAATTAAAATAAAAAATACTTTGTTCTTACAGTAGCATAAACCCTTTGACGATAAAATTTTGTTTTCGTCAACTTTAAGGCAAGTTTATTTTAAGAACTGGATAAGGTTTTTGTTCACTCTAGGTGCCAATTTAAGAAGCATTTTAAATTAATTTTTAAAAAATGTATCTACCTTCTAAATAAAAGATTCGCTAAAAAAAGGATGAGTAATGAAAAAAATGGTCAAATAAAAACAAGATTTTATTGTTAAATAATCAAAGAATTTTTTACGTATTTTTTTATTATTATTTTAGAACCTTGACAATTTTGCTTAAAAAATCTTGTTTTTTAATTGACGTCAAAGCGGGGTCTTGAATTTTTACGAGAAACTAGAAACGGTTTTCGGTAAAAATCTTTAATTTCGAAATTTAGGCAAAAATTAGATAATTGTCGGACTTTAATGAAACTTTAAGAACTTATTGAGAAATGAATTAAATTATTTTTTAAACGTTTCTTTAGAAAATTTTGTAAAAAGAAAAAAACTGTACATAATTCAGATAGGGAAAAATTAAAGTAATTTTTTTTAATACAATTCAAAGTGACTTTATAATGGGCGAAAAAAAAAAAGATGTCATGAGTCGTTGATTATATTATTTTTAAAGTAATTAGTTACTCGAAATTGTAGTGGAAAGTTTGGTGGTTATCATTTAAATGATGTTGATGGCCCAAATCAATCCATATAATTTTCTACTCTACGAATGTTATGCAAAAACAAGAGAAAACAACAAAAAACATTTGTAACAAAAATAACAAGTAATATTTTACAAAAATGTAGTGGATTTTTTTTTTTTTTTTTTTTTTTAGGTGAAATCTTGTTAACTAACATTTATGTTGAACTCAAGTTTGGTGAAAGATTAAATTTTGTTAATGAGTTCTGATTTGAAAGGATGTTTGTTAGAATCTGTTATTGAAGATTCTGTAAATTAATTGCAAGAGAAAAAAATTTACATTTAAGAATTTACTGTTCATGTAAGTAGTAAATGTTTGTATTGAATGCAATTTTGTGATCAAAGAAGTTATCTACCTTTGATTGTTTTGTGTAATACAATGTTCTTGAATGTTGAGAAATAAAGTTGATTTGTTAGCAGGAATTTGTTTAACTTCTGCGTAAGGAATTTGGTGAGTGAATGGAAATAGAGTTCACTGGTGAGTGAATGTGAATATTGTCAAATTGTATAATGTTCGTATGAACGAAAAACTTAAGATTGTGTGACATGAAGTTTAGTTGCAATTTGTTTGATGTCACAACAGTCACTGACGAGTGTGAATGAGCTTCTGTTTTTCTTTGCTTCGGGTGGCTCACAGAAACTTGACGCAAACTTGGATTTCAGTAACAAGCTGTAAAAGTTACTTAAGCATGGGTGGATAGCCACACCTATTTGTATATTTATTAACCAATGAGGGCTCAAGATTTTTTTGAAAGTCTATGAAGTTGAAAGTATTCTGTGATCCACTTTTTGCACAGATTTGACTAAACTATTTTTCTGTATTGGAATAATGTAGAATTTGAGTTCTACAAAGTAAACATTAATTGATTGGTTCAGATTTTGTAGGGATGTGTGCTGCTGTTTTACTGGTAAAAAAACATTGGTGATAAAATTGGAGGTCCAGACAAAATAGTGGAGATTGAGGAAATATTGATCATAAGTAAAGTAAAAAGAAAATATAATCCTGGCTAAGTGCTTCTCTTTGGGAGAATTGAAAGAAATTCTGAAAAATTTAATTACTTTGTAGAAATGTGTTCCTGATAGTTCAAGAATCACTTTCTCTACTAGTAGCAGTCATCCAAAGACGGTATTCAACAAGGCTCTTTACAATCATTAGTGATGGTTGGTTCACTTTATGATTTGGGGTACAATCACATAATATAATTCATGAAAAGAAAATTACTTTGTTGATTTACAGTACATGAATTCTTAGTTCATACTCAACAAATAGAGAATACCTGGCTTGCTTCATTTAAAGCATTTTCTCAGAAAAAAATAATCAACAAGCAAGCATCTGCACAAATAGGAATATGTGACTGAAAAAAAATCAAAAAGGGTATTTGAAAATATGATAAATTTTAACTCATGAATTATGGCCCCAGTTCTAGACATATTTTACAGTTTTTACCCAAATTTAAGAAAATTCGGTAATGCAAGATTCTGTAATTTTGACAAGGTTGAAAAATTCGATAATTATGTAATAAAAGTTGATTTGAAAGAGTTTTATCTGCACTGGAACACGTTTTTTTTTTTTTTTTTTTAAGAATATTTATTTAAACGTATTGCCCTCCTCCAGAAAAGACAGCCCTGGTATTGTTGTGTGGTTTTATCTAGCTAAACCCCCTTAAAAAATATTGGAAGAAGAAGGCTTTTATTTGCTTTTAAATTATGTTATGGACCTTATTGTCTTAAGAAAAATGTCTTTTTTTTTTTCTTTTTTTTTTTAAATTTTAATAATTTATAAACCTCTAATTTTTAAACCTTTTAAAATTATTTATTTGTAGCAGTCAAAAACTAAAACTGTATTTACTAATCAAAAATGGAAAGCTCAGTACAATTCAATGACATCCCCACTATTTTAAAAAGAATTTTGATTTTGTTTTTTGTTGTGTGTGTGAATGTGTTGATTTTTATTACAGACGTCTCTTCATTATCAAAAGATAAAAAAGATACTGATAATAGATTTATAATTTGTAATTTTCTCAAGTGTTTTCATGAATAAGGCTGTAAAAGTTTCAGTACCCAAACTTCAATAAAATATTAAATTGCTTAAAATATTTTCTTAAATTTTTAAAATTACTGGATAGTTAAAAAAATAAATTATATCAACAAAGTTGTTCACTTTATTCATTATTATTTCTTTCAGTTTTGTCCCCCCTTAATTAAATTTCCCAAACATTAAATAGATCACTCAATGTGTCAGAAAAACACTCCCTTCATGTTAAATGCTTTTCTGCAATATTTTAAAACTAAAAGCAATATTTGTTTCAGTTCAGATTAATTAAACTTTAAACCAAGTAATTTTACTCAAATAAAATTTCAGAAATTTGTATTTCATTTTCAGATGATTTTTTTAATAGAGAATAATTTTGTGTTGACAGATATGCCAATATGAATAAATTTATAGATTTGACTAATAAAGACAGTCTGATCAATTTAATTTGGACTTGAGATACACCAACAAAAGAAAAAGTATTTTTACATATAGAAATAAGGTTTTTTACACATTTTTAAACTTTGACATGGTCATCACTTATGGACTCCTTCAACTGCTATTATTGACAAAAATGGAAACAAATTTAGAGATTTGTTTCAAAGTAAATTAGAAAATTTAAGTATTAATTAACTAGATTTTGTAAAAATAATACTTGCTGCTTAAAACAATGAAAATTTATTTATGCACAGTAGCCGTTTGAGCTGTCATCAAGTTTATATGCTCTACTGTCACCCCTACTTAAAAACAACAAAAACAAAAAATATGTAAAACTGAAGAACCAAAAGTACCAGAATCAGAAAAACTTGTATTATGTTTAAAAAATTATTTTTAACTGTATATAACTAATAGTTTATAAATATATTTTTTATTTTATAGGTTTTTATGAAACTTGGTTTGGTTTGTTTTACGGCATATCAACTTCAATGGGTTATTTAATGCCGACAAAATGTTTATTGCTGGTAATGTTTTTCTTCAATAATCTATTTCTGGGAATTTTTTTCCTTGAAGAAATCTATAACTGGTCACATTTTTTCCAAAGAATGTATCGCTCTTTGTAGTGCTGTTATTTTTTTTTTTAGTATTGCTGATAATTTTTCCTTAAAAAATTACTGCTGGTAATAATTTTTTTTATTACAAAGTATTTCTGGTATTAAAACCTATTTTTACACAAGTTTGGGTGTTAACTATTTGCCCATAGCTGGGACCCTAACAGGTGCTACCAGTCCAGGTCAGGGTGGACCTGGGAACACCAGCAATTAAGAGGTGGTTCCACGATCCTCAAAACCTCCTGATTAGAGTCCTTGCTGCTGGACGTAGTTTATCGTCTTACCCAGGATGGTATGAAACTTGGGAGAAAGACCAATTTCATTTTTTTTATACTATTGTAGTATAAGAAATATATAATTTAAAAAAAAATTTATTAGAAATTATTGTTGAATGGTACTTTTGATTCTTGTCATTGTGTTTATTTATTATTATTTTCTTACCTGTTTGATGTCATAAAATATTTAATTGCATCCAATGAGAAATTATTTTGCTAATTAATCTGATAGTAAAATTATTAAACTAAAGGAAGTGTTGCAAGAAAAATGGGAAAAATTGATATTGCTAATTGATCGTAGTCATAGAATTATTTTCTGTACAAAAAAATAATCTAATAGTTGTGCAAATAAAAATTAAATTCTCTCTAAAAATATTCAGATTTGTAAATAGCATCAAACTTTACATTTTTCAATTCTTCAAAATTGTCTTTAATTAATAAAAAAAATCTCTTGTAACAAACAGCTGGATGAAATATAAAATTTGCACTGAAAAATTACAAATTTTTGTAAAATGTTGAATGTACATTTTGTTTGCTTGTCCAATCTGAAATAATGTTTTATTAAATTATGCAAACACCAACTCTCAACAAAAACACAGTTGATATTGTATAATTTTTTTTGCAGAAATAATATCTTTGGCAATTTTTCTTTTATACAACTAAAAAAAAAATACACACTGCCCAAAATTTAAAACATACTCATGATATTGAAAAGTACCCAGAAAAAATATTTTTACAAAATCTTTGAAAACAATGATTTATTCAACATAAAAAAAAATTAATTCATTAATGAAGAATTACTGAAAATCTCACTTAAATCGGATAATTCCCTGATTTTTGGTAAATGTTTTTTTTTTTTTTTTTTTTTTTTCAAAAAATGGCAGTAGCATTTTTTACTTTCATTATCAAAAACGTGGACATATTTTGGTGATATTTAATTTTGAATAATCAGCAGTAAAATGTACATACTTTTGGGGTAAAAGTTTAATAAACAGTGCTTTTAATAGTTTTTTTTTTTTTTGTCATTGATTATTTTTTGTCTGTTTTCTTTTGTTCAATTATGAATTGTCATTTTTAATATACTTCAATTATTTTATTTTTCATCACAGCCTTTGTTTTTATTCATTGAAGAATTTCATGATTGTTAACTCAAAATTTATTCTTTTTAAGCTGCTATACATATCACTGAGAAATAAGTAAAAAAAAATAGTTTATTCATAATTGAGCTTTACCATATTTAAGTTAAATGATCCCTTAATTAAATTTTATCATAAAAAGTGACACTAATTCTAAGTCAATGAGTCTCTTTTGTACCAAATACAAGTGCCACCTGGGATAGTCATCCCAGTGGGAATTTTCAAACTTTTAAAATAAGTGGAGAATTTTGGATTCCTGGAACAAAATAATTATACCACAGAGAAACTTCTTTTGAAAAATAATAGATTTGCTCTATGAAATAAGCACCATGCCCAAGATGGGAGTTGAAGGAAATAATTTATTTGGTACACAAAAGTATGACTTTCACATTGATGACATTTTAGCACTACTTGATTGATCCATTCATAAAAAATAGGGGAAAATCTTTTTTGCAGAATAATGTTTGTAGATGAGCATTCACTTTCCATAAACCACAACATATGTCTGAATCAAAAGGTATTGATCTTTTTTTTTATCAATTTATAAGGCACCTGTTTGTAATATCAATACAATGTCAAATCGATCCCTGACTTTTACAGATATATTGTAACTAGCTTTTGTTTACAAATGTTAAGTTTGTAACTTTATTTATATCATTGATATCTATATTTCTTTTCTTTTTTTTCATTTTCTGAATATTTTAAAGTTTTTTTTTAACGTTTCTTTAAAATTGGGCAAATTTTTTAGAACAAATGCACAAACATTATGGGATAATAATAATTAGAAGTTTGTGACAATGTTGTTTTTTTTGTTTAATGAAAAAATGTACTTAGATAATGAGAATTTATAGCTGTTATTTTATGGTTTATTTTAAAAAGACTGAAACTTTACTTAAATGATATCAGTGGCTCAATATATTTCTGTATTTTTCTATTTTTATGAATATGATCATTTAACTTGCAGAGTAAAAGGCTCAGGGGAGATAATAAAAAAAAAAAAAAAGAAAGAAATATGCAAATATCAGCTGTTATGGCAATAATAAAATTCCAGTTTGGAAATATTTAAAATTAGTTTTTTCAAAGTATTTGCTGAAATAAAAAGAAAACTTGTATCATTTGAAGGCTAGATATTTGATATTGTCTTTTGGTAACTGTTTTATATCATCAATTTGTCTTTTTGCAGTTATGTCGACTGCAGCAAGTAATGAAAGCAGCTGCTGGGTCTGCAGTAAAATGTCAAACTTTCTCCAGAAATTTCCATGCAGGTATTTTTTTTTTTTTTAATTGTTGCTTTTTCTCTTCCAATTGTTATTCACAAGCTTTGATAAAATGCCACAAAATAGCTCTTTGTGATCAGTTGCAGAAGAACATATAACGCCTGGCACATTGAATGCACATTTTGAAAATCAAAGATTGATTCTTGCTTCAAATGTTAGGTTACCCTAAAATTAGTTGTTCTTTTTTCATCATTAGATATGTTTAGTTACTGACACATTTACTGACACATGCCACATCTTGTAGCAGTGTTGTGTACTTCTGATACACAACTGTTTCCATTCCATCTGGCAGCAATGTTGTTTACTTCTTATATACATATGTTCATTCCATGATTTGATATCACATTTCATTTTTGATTTGTAGAAGTGTTTTTAGTAAAAAAAATGATATCAATCCACAAATGCATGATAGGACACTATGGAGAAAAGACAAAATCAACGACAAGGACACTTTTTCATTATTTCTTATAGTTTGATAAATTTAATTTTATTCGCAAAAATAAATCAGATCTATTTCTTAGTAGCAATTTCTAACAGTGGCTCTAACAAAACTATGAAGATTCAGTTATGCAAAGTAACAGTGACTTATTTTTAGATAAGTTCAGTAAGACAAATCCCTTTTAATTGTGACAGATGTGTCTTCCAAAAGATTGCCAGCTTATGGCCATATCACATTGAAACACCAGTTCTTGTACAATCACCAAAGTTAAGCAATGTTGAGCCTATTTGGTACCTATATAGGTGACTGCTTGGGAATACCAGGTGCTGTAAGCATGGATGTGCAGATGGTGTAATGGATAGTGGCTCAGAATTGGAAATCAGAGCACGTTCCAATTCCAGTTGGGTTCATTATATTCACTTATGCACAAATATCCTTGGGAAAGGTATGAATCCACATCTTCTCTCCCCAGCTATGGGTTAATTAGTAGAACTTTTATCAGTAAAAATTATCAACAAAAAATTCTTGCAATCTAAAATATTTTCTGCCTTTTAAATAACATGAAAAAGGTTGATAAGCCATAAAAAAACAATCAAAAACATTGCCAAAATTGATACATATTTTTTATTGTTTCAAACAATGGGAAAGATGGAAAAAATAAAACATTTTCAGCATATGATTTTTTTTTTTTTTTGTTAAAAGAAATAAAAATGCAAAGGATGTATGGTTGGTGTAATGGAAAGTGAAATCAAATTCTGGGCTAATTTGTTACTTTTATGCAAATGTCTTTAGGTTTCTTATCTCACAAGTTGAGGGTTAAATAATATGGTTTGGTTTATTTTGTTTAACAGCATATCACCCTCAATGGATTATTTAATGCCGACATTTTTAGGATAGATTCGTATGAATAGAATATGTATTCTTTGGTTTAGATTGGTTTGGTTTATTTTGTTTTATGGCATATCAACCTCAATGGGTTATTTAATGCTGACAAAAATTTTTATTGCTAGTAATATTTTGTTTTGTCAAAAATCTGTTTCTGGTAATATATTTCCTTCAAAATTGTATTTTTGGTAAAAAAATTTTCAAAAAACTATTGCTGGTAATAGTTAACTATTTGGCTATAGCTGGGACCCTGACAGGTGCTACCACCCCGGGTCAGGGTGGACCTGGGAACCCCAGCAATTAAGAGCATGGTCCTCAAAACCTCCTGATAGGAGGCCTTGCTGCTGGATATAATTTAATGTCTTACCCAGAATGCGGATGTAGTTTAACATTTTATCTAGGACAATTAAATAGTATGGTAAACTGGGCTCTCTAGCCTTAGGCAGCAGCCAGTCTAAGAGCAAAATTACTTTTGAATTCCAAACCATTGTAACGGGAAACCACTCTGCATGGTAATTCAAGAATAAAGAAAATGTTATTCAATAAAGTTAATTCTAAAAGTAAATTAAGAAATTTATTTAATAAACAAAATAGACATTTTGGATAATCCAATAAATTTAATGTAATTTCTCCAAGTTCTCCTTCAGGACATTGGTGATTATGGCTCTCCACAATTTCCTGTCCTTTGTAGCACTTAATAAATTTTGTCATTTTGCTATCTCTCAAACCCTGTTCTGCCACCCATTTACACAATCTCTTCAGATAATGCAGTTTTCCTCTATCCCTCTTGCCTTCAATATGTCTTGTGTGTGTAAAATTTTCCAAGCCCTTTTTCCTTGTTCCCTAGAAATTTCAACTCTTCCTGATGTTAAGTATAATTGTCTTTTTTGTTTCCATTTTCTATAAAACTTTATCATTGCTCTAGTGTTCCGTCTATGGTATTCTCGGCATTCTTCTGTAGAACTACAATTCTGTTGCTTCAAGTTTTTTTTCTTCCTCTGTGAAGAGATTGTCCAGCATTCACTGCCATATAAGAGGATTGATTATTATGTAACCGTTCACTACTCGTTTCTTTGTTTCTAATAATTTAAAAAAAAAAAAAGACAAAGGAAGTCATTGCTATAGTCGTTTTCAATCCCAAAACGTTCTGATGCCACATAAGTTATGTGCTAGTTAGCATAACCCTGTTGAAAGATTGAGGATTTCAAAGCCTTTCAGGTGTGTTGTAGGAAGCAATGATCCAACACATTCAAGTAGTGTTCACCTGTAATGTTTCCATCAATGAAGAAATTTCTATAGAATCTTGCTGATGATAATCTCATCCAGACATTTACCTTTTAGACTTGAGTGATATTTACAAATTGTTTCTGTGGGTGGCCTATGACCCTTCCAAAACAATTCCCTTATATTTGACCTGTTAAAAAAAAAATCCTTATATTTTTCTGTTATTTTTTATTTCAAATGAGTGTGTGTGGCATAGTGGTCATCAGCACAGAAAATGGAATTGGTGTGTCAGGTTCCAATTCTGGCTAAATCCATTCACCGTCAGAAAAGTGTGAATCCATCTCTTCTCTCTCCAGATAGGGGTTAATAACAAGGTAGACTGGACTCTCTAGCTTTGGTTGGCAACCAATCTAGAAGGAGAGCTCTTAATCCAAAACTAGTTGGGTGTGGAGCTGGCAACTATACCCCATAAAAAATTAATTGTTAAAGAAACCATAGCAGCAACATTTCATGTAATACAGCTGTGGGCCTATACACCACTGGGAAACTACGTGATTCACAATGTATGTATATTTGTATTGTGTCTGTAACATTTTCATGGTGCATAGATACTACACTGATCATAAGCAGTAGACCTGGAAGTAGAACTGTGGTCCTATTCAGTTTATACTGATACTACACTCTGATCTTAGGTAAAAGTGCCAATCCATACATAAATAAATTTCATTTTTTATGGATACTATACTGAACTGTTATATAATACCAATCCTTCTATATGACAGTGAATGATGGATAACCTCCTTACAAAGAAGAGGCTTAAAGTAACAGAAATTTGGTTCTACAGGAGGATACTGAGAATGCCATGGATTGAACATGTGAATAATGACAAAGTTTTAGAGAAAATAGAAACAAAAATGATATATTTAGCATCAGAAAGAGAGATTTGAAATTTCTAGGGACTGATGAAAGTGGGCTTGGAAAATTTGATATTCACAGAGAAAAACAATGCATAACCTACCTAGCAAGCTTGAGTAAATGGATGGCAGATCAGGGTTTGGGAGAGATAACAAAAAGACAAAATTTATTAAGAGCTACAAAGGACAGGAAATTTTGGCAAGCCATGATTCCAACACCCTGAAGGGACATGGTATATAGAAGATGCCAGTTACAGTAAGTATATAAATACTTTTTTTCTCTATATTTCATTCAATAAAATAATGAGAATTACCCTGATGCTGATAGCCATGGACTTGTCTCAGAAATATTTGGTTGCAGCTGACAAGAGAGAAATCTGTTATGATATTCTGTTGATTTGTGACTTTTTTCTTTTGTCTGATTTATATTTTGTCTTTTTTGTTTTATAGCGCAAGCAATGTTTGCGGCCAAAGTACAGCACCCTGCTCCCAACTTCAAGGGAATGGCAGTTGTGAATGGAGATTTTAAGGAAATTCAACTTTCAGACTATAAGGGAAAATATTTAGTGCTATTCTTCTACCCCCTTGACTTGTAAGTGTTTTTCAGTTTGATTCTTCCTCTAATATTTGTTAATGGAGCTGGGTTTTTTTTTTTTATCATTCCATCTTAAGCAAGGCAGAAATGCCACTAGTATGCAGGAGATTACAGAGAGTGGGAGAAAAATCTAGGTATAGGAAGGAGTGAGAAAAGGATAAAAGATGAATGGGATTCAAAGAGGCAGAAGATGGAAATTTAAATTTTTGAAAATTGTAGTTTTCAGGGCTGCAAGTAAATGGAAAAGACTTCCAAAGGCAGGAAGTGCAAGTAAAGAACCTGTAGAAGTGGTAGTTACATTTAACTATTTCAACAGTAAAAGGGTGGGACCTAGATGCCAATCTAGTAGCATGCTTAAATTTGTGTAGTCGAGGCATCAGGTGAAAAAGCTTGTCAGAGCAGTTGTCAAGGAAGTTACATCACATCAGAGAGAAAATGACTGACGTCAAGAGGCCAAGTCGGGAAATTCATGCAATTTAAATGCATTTCATGACAGCATATAATATTGTGTTTGTTTATTATATATATATATATATATATATATTGCAATGTGTACCAACACATCTCATCAGGTGTTAGTAAATGACAAGTTCAACAATTTATTGAAATTTAAAATTTAAAACCACATACGACCCCTTTTCACACAAAAAAAGGAGTAAAGAAAAAGACAAGATACTTTCTCTTTTCCAAAGTAAAGGAAGAATAAGGAAAAAAGGTAAGAAAGAAGTGGGAGGAGATAACAGTGAAATTTTCTTTGTTTATAATCAGATCTACCAATTAAAATGGTCTATGTTAAGTAAGCGGTCATGACCCCCAGATTTAAAATCGTTGACAGCTTAGACATTATATTCAATACATTCAAGTTTGCTACAATGTAACCATAATACACATGACACTTCCAATGGGAAATTAAACATAATTTCACAAGGCTCTTGACAAACCACATACCTTGCGAGTTAAAAATTAACTTTAGGAGTTTTATTTTCATCTTTCAACATCCAAAAATATTTTGAAAGGGAAGTATTATTTCTGTAAGTAATATTAGTAAAAGAATAAATGTGCTGATACCACCGGATTTTAAACGTATTCTTAGTATTACCAATATAAAACTTTTGAACCTTCGGATTTTCTATTGTAGAGATAGAACAAAGATACACAAGAGATTCAGTTATCCATTTTTTAGATAATGGACATTGGTTAGGATTCCTACAATTACATTGGTCACTGCCCATAACAATATTCTCATTAGTGCTTGCATTATGATTAAAATTATTAAATTTGTTTAGAGTTCTATTGTTTATTGAGATTATTGGTGCAACTATAACTAAGTTTTAATATATTCTTATTAAATATTTTACTAAGACAGTTGCTTTTCAGAAAATGTTTATCAATTAATTTGAGCAACTTATGGCCTAACTTAGTACTTACTAATTGATTAAATGGAGGTGTGTACCAGATGACCATACTATTTCTATTTCTTTTCTTCAAATTACTATTATCATATTCTCTAAACTGAATTTCTGCGGACTTATACCTGTTAAAAAAAATTTGTTTGGTATCCCAGTCTTGGTCTGACCCAGAACTTTTCAGCATTCTATGTGCATGCATGTGCGTATATATATAATACACAATTTTTTTTTTTATTTTATTTTATTAAAGACAGACAAGTTTTTCTTTTCTAGATTCAATGAATATTGGGTAAACATTTGGAACCTCGTAAATTTTACCATTCTTCTGGCAAGGAAAAGCTATAGATGTTTGTTTTTTTGTTTTTTTTTTGTTTTTTTTTTTTTGTTTAGTTAACTTTTGTTCAGTTAACTTTTGTTCATAAATATGTATAGATACAATGAACGCAAATATTGGCCAGACATTTGGGTCTCATGAATTCAAACATTTTTCTTACCAATATCAGAAAAAAATCTGTATATTTTATGTTTTAATTTTTTCACTTGTCTTTGTAGCATTTGTGAGTTAAGATTACATAAAAAAAAAACATTGGCAGTCTTGGACCTTTGTACCCAGTAAAAAACTGTATTAAAAGGACTTTTTTTCCTTTGACACTGTTATTATTTTAACTACCTTCACTCCTTGGCAATGTTTATTGTTTTAAAAAGCAATTAGAATTTTAATAAAAGCTATGTATATGAAAGTGAATTTATACATTTTCTTTGTCCTTGGGAATTGACAACAAAATGATAAACAGTATTTATTTATTATATTGTTTATTGAAATGGTAATTGTCAATTGATTCGCGTTTTATAAAATGGTAAATAATAAGGATTTTCTTATAGTTGATTCACATATTTTAATAATTTAGTAAATGTTTATAAATTTATGAATAAAAAATTGTTTTTTCATATTTTATGAATTGATAAATGATAAATGTTATATTGCATTAGTTTTAAACTTTTAATATAATTGTATTTGTTTTTAACTTTTTAGAATGTGATAAATATGAAATTATTTGTGTAAATAAACAATCTAATAAATAAATATATTAAGATTTTTGATGTAAATTCTAAACAATAAAAATGTATAAATAAACTTATATGTTTAAATTTTATTCCAATTCTAATCATTACTTTTTAAAGCATGAAGGTAGTTAAAATAATAGCAGTGTCAAAGGAAAAACCTTCCTTTTCACATTCCATTTATTGCAGGCATGAGGGTTCAAGATTGCCCAAAAATTTGTATTTAAAAATGATACCATTGTTTCTTGTTTCATTACCCATTCAAATAAAACATATTTATGTTTAGTTGTGGAAATATTCAGTTGTAATTAACATGGGTTATTACTATTTCTAAAATCTTAAATTTTTTTTTAAAAGTCTGAAATTAAATCACATTTCATTACGATACAGCCTAGTGCATTTTCTCACGTGATCTTTAGAAGACATAAAAATCTGTTTTAAATGATTCAAAATGTGAATTTTGTCTTAATTCTTTTATCTCAAAATATTTTAATAATTTTTCACTAAAATATAAATCTATAATTTATTTTACATCATAATGTTTAAGCAGTTCAGTCATTATTCCATGTCCATCAATTTTGAAAATAATTTTTAAATTAATATTCAGTAATATCTTAGAAATTTCATGATACATGTTTTACATACCCTCTGGCTAAACATTGTCAGTGTTTGAGCTCTGATTACATAAATTCAAAACATCTACTTATTTTCATTTGTTGATTCGTTTTCAGCACGTTTGTGTGTCCCACAGAAATCATTGCCTTCAGTGACAACATTAAAAAATTCCTGGATATAAATGCCGAGGTTGTTGGAGTTTCTACTGATTCCCATTTCAGCCATCTTGCTTGGATTAACACACCCAGAAAGGTTAAGTTCTTACATGATTTCTTACGAAGTTATCCCCCTTGTTTTTCTTAACCCAACAAGTTTGCATGACAATTAGCAAATACTGTAAACGTTATCCATATAACATCAAATAAAAAAGAAATGGTAGTGAGATATATATATATATATATATATATATATATATATTTTATTTTTACTTTTTTCCTCATTTCTCGTTGCAGCAAGGAGGTTTGGGTAAACTAGATTATCCTCTCTTATCAGACTTCAATAAAAAAATTTCTGCTGATTATGGTGTTTTAGTGGAGGCTGCTGGAATTGCTCTCAGGTAAGTCAGTTCAAACGTTAACATTAAAAAAAAAAAAAAACACTGACAAATAAAGATTAATAAATTTTGGATAACAAAAAGACAATCTCTAAAAAAAGTTTCGCTTTTGTATATAATATATATATATATAACTGATTTCAAAATATGGTTTCATCCCTACACAGGAATTACCATGTTTCAAAAACAGAAACTAAGAAATTCAGTTATATAATTAACTCAAAAGCATTAGTTCTGTTTCATCTTCAAGCAAATTTTGGAATAACTTATTTTGAAATTTACTAAGTTTTAATAGCATATACATTCGTAATTTTTGTTTCCAAGGATACAGAGAAATCCAATCATTTAGACAGGGGTGGTAGCGTGTTCTTTTTTACTTATATATATATATATATATATATATATATATGTATGACTTCCGAAAAAAGGTAACAATTTGTTTTCAAATTTCCCTAGTAAATCATCTTTATCACAAGTTATCTACCATTGTCTAAGGAAGTACAATAATAGTATTGAAGTATGAAAGCTTTTGTGTAGCGATGTAAAATGTTTTTATTATAATAAAATATTATGCACACACACCTCACTGGATGTTGAAAATCTGAAATACTTTTGAACAAATTGTTTTGGAGTAGTTAAATCATTTTGAGTCTGTAAAAGGACAGTTCTGAAAAGGGCTAATGGTTCACTCCACTCACTCACTGAGCCACCCAACGAAAGATTTTTACTAACACCTGACAGTAAAATTACTACACCTTTTAAAATGGTCTACTTATGACACTCATGAATGACCAGGAGTGAAATAAATTTGCATGTTCACTGTTGTTATAACTAGCATATGGTTGCAGTGATAAAAACAATGATTAAAATTTCAACAACCTGTATTGATTTTCAGAATATATACATAAAACTCAATGCATATGTAAATCTGAATTTTTGAAAGTGTGTCCATAAACTTGTATCATCTGTGTAGATATTTAGTAATGATCAGAGAATGTTCTTGAGTAGATCATTTATTAAAAGGACTGAGGATAGTCTTGGAGGACACCTGAATTATTTCATGAGCTTCAGATGATTGACCATTCAAGGTATGTTTTATAGACCTGAAAAAAGTACTTGATGATCACAAACTCACACCATAGCTTTCCAGGTCATAGAAACACGCAAACCATAACACTGTGGCAAGGTACTTTGTCATAGAGACATAGTTAATTTAAATGATTTTTTTTTCTTGCCTAATTCAAGATTTCACTATCACATTGCATTGAGATATATATATATATATATATATATATATATATATATATATACATGAATATTGAGTAAGATGAAAGAAAATGCTGTGTAACCCAATACAGGGCTCAAGATCAGTCAGCTCAAATTCTCAAAGCACTTAGGTAGTAACATGTACGTCTTAGGCATGTGAACTTTAACCTCCTCATAGTGTAATGTACAAAAAGCTGAACTTGCAGATCATTAGTAGTGAGTTTCATCCTCACTGTCTCTCTTTTTTTTTTTTTTTTTTTTTTTCTTCTTTTTTCTTTCTTCTTTTTTTTTTTCTTTTCTTTTTTTCTTTTTTCTTTTTCTTTTCTTTTTTTTTTTTTTTTTTTTCTTTTCTTTTTTTCTTTTTTCTTTTTCTTTTCTTTTTTTCTTTTTTCTTTTTCTTTTCTTTTTTTCTTTTTTCTTTTTCTTTTCTTTTTTTTTTCTTTTTTTTTTCTTTTCTCTTTTTTTCTTTTTTCTTTTCTTTTTTCTTTTCTTTTTTTTTCTTCTTCTTCTTTTTAAAATCAGTATCATCCCATGCAAGGTTTACTGCCTTGCATGAGGTGATACTAAAACACAAGGGGTTACAAGTTGTGAAAGAATTAGGAATAGAAATTTTAATGATGAGCAGAAAGAGAAGAGAGTAATCAAGAGGACAGTAGATAGCGATTGACATTGCATTTAAATTTTTGCAGATTAAAGTTGGCTGGAATGTCACCTCCTACTCAGCCAGCGGTCCGAATGTCCAACCCCCATGGCTGATCGATGAGATGATTGCTTCAATCCAAACCCTGCCTTTGCCAACGTTGTTTAGTTTTGATCATAGGGCTTGCAAATATCCAGTTGTTGTTGTTGGGAATCATTGTATTGGTTTGGTCCAGGCAGAGTTAAGACACAAGTGAGGAAAAAAAATAACTTGAATAAAAAATAAATGCTTTTATATACGTTATTTTGTACAAAGCTCGGTTAGTGTTGACGTTAGAATTTATCAATTCCTCATGCAGAAAATTATCCATTCAACCCGGTTCTTAAGTTGAACATGACACTTCAGCTGGTTTGTTTAAGTCTGGCACAAGGCTTATGTCAGAGGTTCTCTTCAGGCAGGAAGTCGTATGATATCAGGCAATGTAGTCATCTCCATGTCTGCAACAATTGCTCTCGGCCGCTTCAGTTCCTTGCATTTATTGACATTCACCTAAAACCAGCATGGGACATGACACAGGAGATTCAATGTTTCCCATATCTTCCAACAAGAGCCCTTTTGTTGTCTGGCTCTGAGAAATTAATTACATTTCCAAATTGGGGAGATCCCCTTTTCCTGTGGGTAGCAGTCACAGGTATCGATCTGACTCAATAACTTCCTCCTCCTTTTATTGGCATCTCACCTCAACACTTCTCAATGGGCGTGGGCAATTCCTCCACCTTCCTCAGTATTTCACCTGCACCTACCACCTTGGCTAATCTAGCTCCTGACCATTTGCCGTGTCTTAACTTGTGGTCAGTAATTAAAAAAATTATCATTTCAAAATTTACTTATGCAAAATTTTCCCATCCTGGTCTTGTTCAAAATCAGATATTTACCAGATGGTTCTCTGGTCAGCCATTCCCCCAACCCTGTCAGGATCATTGCACTCCAACCACAAGGAAACTCTGTTCTGAAGGTTTGGTTACAGTTTAAATATTATCCGTCCTATTTATTTTGTGTTTTCTTAACCAATACTCTGGAGCTGGGTCATTAATCAGCTGTCAGCTTTAAGATTACCACATGGCTTCTTGTAGTAATATCGCCTTTCCATAAGTAATTTTTCTAGTTTTAGAGAATTAAGCTTCTTTTTTGAAAAAAAGAAATCTTCATTCTTTCTCTCAGTCTGTCCATCTTTCTATTCATTCATTAACCCTTTCTTTCCATTTACCAGCACCAAATAGTATCACAGGAAAGCATGAAGCCAGAAGTGAGTTCCACATGTGAGAAGTGCAAGAAAAACTGTTAGCATAGAATTTATGGCTACATCTAGTCAGCTCAACTGAGATCTTGACACCAGTCTAGTACTGCGCTTAAATTCAAAAAATTTAGATACCATAGCGAAGAGCTCATCCAAACAATTACCATGAAAGTATTCATAGAAAAAATATAGTGAAGCAATCTTATGGTGAGCTATGGTGCTAAACAAAGTTTACTAACTCATCTCAGTTTAAATTTCTATGATGCAAATAAAAAAATAAAAAAAAAAAGATATTTTACCTTGCAGCCAAATACTTTTTTTTTTTTTTTCTTTCTTTCTTTTATAGGGGTCTTTTCATCATTGACCCAACTGGAACTGTAAGACAAATCACCATCAATGATCTTCCTGTGGGCCGATCAGTAGATGAAACTTTACGCTTAATTCAGGCTTTCCAGTTTGTGGAGAAACATGGTGAAGGTGAGCAGATTTAGTTTTAGATCTTGTTTCTGGCATCAGTTCAGATTTTAGACTTTGCCTGTTTACTGTTACCCTCTTTCTTTTTCTCAATTTGTCATTCCCTGTCCCAACACTACCGAAAACGTATTGTTTGTCATAATTTGGTAGTGTTTTTTGGGGGGTTTTTTAATCTTTGTGCCCATTGTCTGTTGACATCACCAGATTCTATGGGGATTTCACCCAAAGCCTGTGATTCTGCTGAGGTTTCAATTGTGAAATCCTCACAGCCATGGTAACTTTACTTAAAACTAATTTAACGATACAAACCAACAAACTCTGTTGACATCTAACAATTGCTTAAATGATAACAAATTTCAAAGTTTGTAATGAGTAAATAATTGTATCTTTCTATTTAGCCTGCTTGACAGTCTTTCAGCAGGAAAAAAATTATTCTAGCAGTAATTCTTAAATGGAGAGACCTCAGAATGACCAGATGAAGAGGATTAAAACTGGACTTCATCTCTCTGGTCAACTAGTCTCTCTAGTCTGTATTGGTTGGTTTATATAAGAATTTCACAAACCTCTGGCATTGATTTATTGCTTATTTTTCCACAAGATATTGTGACATTTCTTTGTTTGAACACCACATGCCCCTTGTGAAATGCTTCATTCCAAAAGCCCTACCTTGGACATTGTAATCTATAACATGTCTGATATTTGATAGTATTTTTAAATAAACACAAGAATTCTGCTTTGGAATTTGGCAAATTCCAGAGAGCCATAAATTAGGTGGGTTGGAGAAAACCTTCGTCTTAATGAATTCTACTTGGTTTATTCAGGTTCAAATCTTCCCAGAACCCTCTCCAAACTCATTTTATGGATTCTAATTATTATTTTTAATTTCTTTCTTTTCCTTCTAAACACCTAAATGGGTTCTATGAATTTTCTCACAGTTTAATCTTATTTATTTACTGCTTCAAATCATCATATTCAAATGCAGTAAAATGCTGAACCAGAGTCACCACCGTTATATTGACATCAGTTCATATTCTTAGAAACAGAAGACTGTGATTAACTTAGTTGATTATTTCAGAGAAATGATTGCAAAATGTCAATTTATCATAGCATACATGAAACAAATAAGTTTTCTTCAATCTAGAATGTATTCATCTTTTGCCTCATGAGGTAAGTGACCAACATAAATCTCTCTTCAGTTATTTTTTACCTATCACAAATGCTTCAGTATTCCATATACTGACATTACTTTAATAAATTAAAAGAAAGAAAAAACTTTCTTGGGCCTAAAACATTAACTTATTTCTTTATTTTTTTTACTCATCTTCTCTTCAAAGTGTAATACAAGTCAAGTTGGCATTTTTCTCAATATGGCATTGAGTGGGTCAGGTCAATCATTTAAAAGGTAAAAAAGTGCAGAATTAATATATGGTGTGATTTCAGAAAATTTCCTTAAAAAAAAAAAAAAAATTAATAAATAAACATTCCTTTTCTTATCATCTTAAGGACCAAAGAGTGGAGTTTCTCTCAAATACCTAAACTCTTTTTTTTTTGTTTTTTTTGTTTTTTTTATCATCCCAAGTAAGACAATAAAGCCACTAAGACACAAGGGATGTCAACTGCTTTTGAAGCCAAGTTGTTTGCCATTAAATTGCAAATAATCACTTCATTCTGTTTTGTTTTGCAGTGTGTCCTGCTAACTGGCAACCCAAGGGAGAAACCATTAAGCCAAGCATTGAAGGCTCAAAAGAATACTTTGAAAAAGTTAATTGATTTTGATGAGCTTTGTTTTAGTCAAATTAAAAACAAATTCTTATAGAAACCTGAAACAGCCATTGTCCAAGACTGAACTTATTAGACAAGGAACTTCTTGCTGTGATATTTTGAGGTCTATCCATACAAAAATACCTTGTCTGTTCAATAAAAGCAATCAAAATTCAACTGTTCTTTATTTGATACTTAACATTGCTATTGTTGAAATATTTTCAAATACCTCACCCTATATTGTTAATTGGTTCCAGAGGTCACAACTTAGGTTGAAAAACAACTTAAGTCGAAATAACCACAATATAAATGGCAAATAAGCACTCCTCATTACATATTACAGTATTTATATGTACATACAGTATTCTGAATAAAATAATTTATCAGCGATATAGCCTTAAAAACCACTAAATAAGACAACAACACAGTCACAGATGTTTTCATATTTTGTTCTCTAAGATTTATGATGATTATATTAACATTTACTGTAAATGTACGTATTTTAATGATTTTATATACTTTTATTCTTATTTATTGTACAGTAACATGATTTTATGTGCTTTTAATGATTTTCTAGTGATATTATGACTTCAATATTTGTGGCAGACAGACGTAAAGTTGAATAAAATGACTTAAACTTGATTTTTATTTTTCCATATATTTTTTTGACAAACAACGTATAATCGAGAACAACTTAACCCGAGGTATACCTGTATTGCAAATTTGTAGTCAGCCTTATCTTGGTATATGACTGCAAAAATATGCAGATTAGAATCAAATATTGAAAGCTACTTAATGCCAGTCAACAAAGTCTCAACAATTTACAAATCTTGACTTAAATTTTAATGAAACACTCTTACTTTAAATTGGAACCACAGGTTTGATCTTGGGTCATTGAGTGCATAGGTGTTTAAATCTAAACACAATCCATTTTGTATTTTTTTTTGCTTTTTGAACTTTCTTTAAACAAAAGATATGTCAATATTTATGCACAATGATATTAAAAGAAATCACATGGAAATAATATCGGTTAAGAATAACAATTTTGTTAACCGAATATAAAATATAACTCGAATTTATTTAGACTGATAATGCTGACTGTTCAGTCAATGAATGACAAATATTTCTTTAAAAGGAAATGGTTAATCTCACCATTACCAATCTTTAGATTATTTTAAAACATTTTTTTTTTTTTTTAAAGAGAAAATTAGAAAAGGGTAAGATCAAGAATCTATGACAAGAAGCATTTCTTTTTTTTGGCACTACTTAAATTGATGGGTCCACTCATTAGCATTCTCTAGACTTTCCTCAAGCCATATTTGTTGGAATAGAAAATTATTGATTTAGAGGTTTTTTGTTTATAATATTGATACAGTGTCAAATCGATCCCTGATTTTTTAAGAATTATTTACTTAGTTTTTTTTGTCATGCTTTGAAAATGTGCTTACATTGATATCTGCATAATTTCTTATACTTTTGTTAATGTAAATTTTTGTTCTTTCACTATTTTGAAAATGTATGCATGTTTTTTAATTAAAAAATAAATCTATTTCACCAAACAATTGCTTGTTTAAAATATTCTTACAAGAAAACACAATGTATATATCTGTTTCTTTATTTGATAGAAATCTTTTTGCAAAAAATAATCTGCTTTTGAATGCTGATATCAATGATGCAAGTACAATGAACGTGAATTGATCCCTATTGTCACCAAGACTTACAACAGATGTTTCTTTGTTTCCAAATGATCCTTTTTAGTAGTTCCTGTTTTTAGTGAACCGTCTTATCCTTCAAACTATCAACCTATTAGTCTTCTAACTTTTTGGCAAAGTACTAGAGGGTCTAATCAACTCCAAATTGGTCAAGCATCTCACTTCGCAGGATATGATTTTCATTTCTCTAGGTCAACAACTGATGACGGTTATTTCTGAAAAAGCCTGTCAAGCTTTAAACAAGAAATGGTAAAGCATTTGGCATGCTGGTTTTCTTCACAAGTTGAAGGGTTATGGTGTTTCTGGCCAATATTTTTTTTTCAATTCAATCTTTATCAAATCACATGATGAAGGTGGTCTTAAACAACCACTCTTCTAGATCTTTTTGCATTAAACAAGGTGTCCCCACCAGGGCTCTGTTCTTGGACTTACTTTGTTCCTTATCTTCATCAACAACCTTCCTGATGTCATCAGTTTCCAACTCAGTATCTATGTTGATGACAACTATTTACTCCTGTCTTAATCTTAAGTCTGACCAGTTCAATAAAATCTAATTGGCAGCTGATGTCAAAAATGACCTTTCAATCCGTTATTAATTGGGGTAACAAATGGCTTGTTAATTTCAATGGCCCCAGAACAAAACTGCTATCTATTAATCATATTAAAGAACTTTTTATACCTTCCATCAGCATGGCTGATATTAACCTACAGGAGAGTAGCTCACTGTACCTTCTTGATTTCATATTTTCCATGACATGAGGAACAATTGAATCAATTGCTAGGAAAGTTGGTTTATTTTGTTGTATTAGGTTCTGGTGAGAAAAATAGTCTATCTTTCACATTTATAAGTCTAATATGCATCAAATATTGGTGCCACATGTGGTCTGGTGATTTTGCTATGTATCCAGCATAAATCAATACAAAATTCAATTAAATAAGCCAACAAGGGTTGACATCAAAAATCAATAAACCAAGATTAAATTTAAAAATCTGCCATTTGTCTATGCATTAAATATTGCTGCTGCATACAGTCTGGTTCTTCTGCTAGGTATTTATTGATAAAATACAAAGAATCTGCAATGTTATCAGTGCTGACCTGGCATCTCAGCTTCAGTCACTTTCCCACCACTGTAACATAGCTTCCCTTTTCTATATTTTTGCAGTAAATATTCTGATAAGCTTTCCTTTCTCTGATACCTTGACTTCATAAATTTAAGAGCAGAACAAGATTGGCAGTTAGGTCTCATTATTTTACTGTTCAAATTTAAATGCAATATCAATCATCATATTGTCTCCTTGGATCCTGTACTTTTATTGTCTTTGTTTCTTTCACTCTCAAGAAATCTTTGTTATATTAGTGGTTTTCTTCAATTGCTAGGAATTTCTTCACCTTGCTTGGTGTGAAACAAAGAATAATTCATGTACAAGTCTGGGACTGATTTCATACTATCATATTATAAACAGGACTCCACCCCAACTTCTAAAACAATAAAAAAAAAAAAAAAAATTTCTTTTTAGTTGATTAAAAGATAAAATTTTTCCATATAAGGTGTTAGAGTTGGCTGATACAGAAAACTTAAGTTTCAATAACAAAGTTGCAGAGATATTTACACAAACTTATGGACTCAATGACTTTTGAAAATAGAGAAACCAAAACCAATGAATAAAAATTTAATGATTTTATTCAGATGATATTTTTACAAATGGTTGTAATGTTTCAAAGAATCTCAATGAATAAAGAAAAAAAAAAGATTCTCTCTGAAGCCAGATAAAAAATCTGTTTTCATTTTTCAGACAAATGATAATGAATATTAAGAACACAAACTGGCAGTTTTTGTTTGGTAGAAAAGAAACTATTTACAAACTTAGTTACTTAATCTTCCATTTAACAATAATGTTATGAAATATTTTCTCTTTTGTATTCAGAGACAAACCTTTGGTGTGTCAAAGGCTGAGTGAAGCTTAAGAAAAAAGAATGCCTTTACCAAAGGCTTTCATTGGAATATCATACCCAGATCAGTTAATAGTTCAGAATCTGAAACTAGAATATAAAAGATTAACACTTCACTAATAACATCTTTCTGTTATAACACAGGAAGGAAGAAAAAAAAAAACTTTTTAAAAGCTGCCTCTTAGGAAGGATTTCATTTTGACTAGATGTTCAGATGGCAATACAAAGGGTTTTATTTTTTTATTTTTTATTTTGCAGGCCTCAATGAAATGTCCTCATAAACACACTATTAGCTACTTAACAAGAATTTTTTTTTTTTACTGGCCAATTGGTGGTAAGTCTACCAGAGAGGTAGTTAGGATACAATCTTTGTCTCCATATCTACTCTCCTTCACATCCCTATACGTTTCCCTTCATTGGGCTACCAAACAAGCAAGTCACTCATTAATTTCATAATTGAAATCATTGCATAGTTTGTATATTTTACAGGAGATGATTTGAGAAAAACTTCTTACCACTTAAAAGTGATATTTGCATAAATGTAACTTAGATTAAAGTGAATAACTTTGCACAATAAAAATCATCTATTAGCTTTTTTTTTTTTTTTTTAAAAAAAAAAAAAAAAGAAAGGTTTCCATGGTAACAGGAGATAATGGATATCTGAAGGCAGTTCTACTGTACAAGAACTTTTGGGATATAAACATTTTTAGTAAGTACAAATGTTAAAGGAAACAATGTCTATCAAAACATTCTGTTTATCATTAATGGCCTCTACCTTCCAGGTGGTGTTATTGAGTCAAGCCAAAAATGCATCAGTTAAGCTAAGGAGTTTAATACACTACCTGTCCAGGAGTCAGCTTTGACACATCACAACCAAAGAAATTATCAAGACTTGAAGTAACCACTGTGTTGCTATACAGCAAGTTTGTCTAGAAAGTAGGTGTTTTGCATAGAGAAAACAAGTATTTAACTATTTAAATTTCATACAATCAGGTTTCTTTTCCATAGAAGCCAGTTCCAAAATTTACAAAGCCTGTATAAGTTGTTAAAATAATACATCCAGGCCACTTAGTGGAATGAGGAATTTAATTGTTTACATAGTTTTTAATTTATACAGATTTTTTTTTTTACAAGCCAATGATTGTGTTGTCAACACGCAAAACATTGAGACAATGATAGACTTTAAAAACAAGGTTTGTTTTATCAAAGAAGTTTCACAAATATAATCTTTCATGACAAAGAAAGAAAGATTACTGATAGAATTATTACCGCCACTTAAAGGAAATTACGGAAAAAGAAAATAGAGAAATTTGAGCAGATTCCCCTATCCCCACCCAATAACAATATTTCTTTTTTATGAGGAACAATTTGATTAAGAGGCTAAAATTGATCTGAATAAGTTTAGTTTTATTTTGACCCCCATACTGCTGAAAAAAAAAAAAAAAAAATAGCTAAATGAAGAGCAAGATTTTTGTCTGCAATAAACCAGGGCCAAACATTCTTGCTAACAGATAGCCATTAGCTATGTCAGAATTTCAAATGTTTATCTTTATTACACTACATCATGAGGATCAAAATTAAGATGCAGAGAGATACCAATGTGTGTATTACCAAATGAAGCTAACAGATTTTGATCAAGATATTGTCAAAGATATCCATGACTATTTTATGAACCATATTGCCTTTTAAAGCCATAGATCACAAAGAGTTACTAACTTGAAATAACTCAATCCAGCAGTAGGGATTGAACCATAAACTAAATGAAATACAGCCCTATAGTTATACAAAATACCCAGACTAAAGAAATATTTAAAACTCATTTCATCAAGTCACTCCCACAAAACAAAAAAAAAAAAACCTGAGAGTCATTTGGACAATCTAGGTAAAAGATATCCTCACTGCTGAAAAGGTCAAGAAGTTGACATTGAAAAAGAAAAGCAAAGATGGTAGAGAATAAAGCTAAAAGCTTTTTATCTTCGGGGTCTTTTAGACAAGGGACTTCTTTCTCGGCGATTTTTACTGCTGCTGCTACTGCTGTTGCTGCTGCTACTAGCACCTGGCCCAGGAGGAGATGGAGGTCGCTGTCTTCGCATGGAAAGCTGAGATGAGCAACTTGAAGAAAGAGATGATCTATGACTGAGGTCAGAAGTGTCTGGAGATCTTTTTCTGTGACGCCAGACGTCTCTCGAAGACAGCTGTCCTGATGGCAGAGATGACGATGTCGGTTTATGAGGAGGTAGGTACCGTTCATTACGCCTGTCTCGAATGGGTGAGGAGGGGGCAAGGCTCGGTCTTCGAGGCGGTGTGCTTGGACGCCTTGGAGGAGTGCCAGGACGCCTAGGTGGAGAACTTGGGCGCCTTGGAGGTGAAGCCACACGACGCAAGGGTGAAGGTGGTCTCCGTGGGGGTGTGGAAGGCCTTCGAGGTGGTGAGCTGGGTCGACGAGGAGGTGGACTCAGCCGGCGGGGAGGACTCTGCCACTGTCCAGACCGATCCAGATCTGGAGCATGTGGCGGAGTTACGGCCCGACCACGTCTTGAACGCCCACCATGCAATCCCAGTCCAGGTGATGGTGAACGCCCTGGGTTTCTCTTATTTGGAGACTGAAGACGACCTTGAGGGGATCCTAATCGACCAGTCTCAGAATCGGGATAATAGGGTCTAGAAGCAGGAACCTCGGCCGAGGGAGGAGAAACTTTATCAAGTAGACCAAGTGGTTGACCACCAGGGGATAGTGGATTACGTCCAAATGACTCCCTTCCTCGACCAGGTATCATATCCTTCCCAGGAACATTCCGACGAATTTCTTTATCAGCCACTGGTGAGATATAATGCGTCTCAGCAAATGAGCGGATTGGTGATTTCGGCCTGGCTTCTACGCTTGGATAAGTAATGTTCCGCTTGTCATAATGATAACGATCTTTCACAGGGTTCATAGCATTCTGTACTCTACAATAAAATAAAAGGAAAAAAATGTTAGAGATTCTTGAGTTACAAAAGAAACAATTCTTATGGTACATAGTGGAAAGTATTTGTTTCAGACAGTTTTTTTTCTTCAGGCATTTAAACCAGACCATCATTTCATTAGTGTACTTATAAAGATTACATGTGTAGCTTGCTTTCTGCCAGGACAGATTAAACACAAATTTGTATGGACAAAAGGCAAAAAAAAAAAAAAAAAAATTTTTTATTCATTTCAAGAAAATTATTTTGATTTCTTTTGTATAAATAATAACTATGGTAAATAAAATTCAGGCTGGGATTTAAGAAATTGTATGGTGCCGGCAAAAACCAAACTGAATAATTTATAAGAGAAAAATCAAACAAAAATGCTAAATCACAACAAAGTTTTGTAGTTGCTGTTCTTGTTGGAAATCATAAACATGTACAATTAACAATGAAAATTTATTTGTCTATATTTCTGAGATGAGGTATTATGTACAGTATTTACATTAGTCGGACTATTGTCCTCATCTTTGTCGCCATATTTGTCATAACTGACATCCATCAAACATGGCACGTGGAATTAGAACAGTCTACCCCAGCGATCGAAATAAAGGGTTCAGTTCGAAATTCCAACCACCTGAAGAAGGCCGGAGCGTACAACGGCCGAAACGTTGTGACAAATATGGCGACAAAGATGAGGACAATAGTCCGACTAATGTAAATACTGAAAATTTATTTGTCTTTGATAATTGAATAGCCTAATATTTTAAAGAAAAGTAATGGGAAAGGTCAGGTGTGTAAGTAGTGTAGCAATTATCAACACAATAAATGGAAGTTTAATCAGATGCATTCATTTTCACACTAATGCTCTTAGGAAAGCCATGATGCAAATTTCTCCCTTCTCCCAGCTATGGGTTAAATAGCAGTGTAGATTTGGATATCTAGTCTTGAGTAGCAGCTCTAAATTCAAAACTGGGAAAAACAACAGGAAACCATGCCACTATTTTTCTCCAGGTAGTTATGGCAATTCACAGATAATAAAGAAATCTGTGCAGCTATGATAGCTTTTGTCTTGAAGAGAAATAGCATTTTTTTTAAAAAAAAAATTTTTTTTTTTTTTGTTTTTACTTTCCAAGAAGACAGCAGTGGCAAACTGAGTGACAATATATCCAGACAATTTATCAGCAAAGCTGAAGCAAGCATCCAAATAGCAGTTCAAAAGAAATTGAGGAAGGTTTCGAATCACTCCATTTACATGCTGGGATGGTACAAATAAAAAGCTAAATGAGATATATTCATTCTTGGTCAGTCAACAAAGAAATGAAACATTATAAGGCTCTTAGCAAAACTCACAAGGAACAAGCACAGTACAGTCAATAAAAGTATTGTGTCGATGTGACAATGAAAACTTGCATCAATTATGCAAAAAGCAGTAATTGGCAGCCAAAGTCATAGGATAAAAAATATGACTGATTCTCTTTTGGATATGGCAAACAAAAAGCAAGCAAATATCAAGAAAAATTTTAAAAAATAATAAAAATACATGCTGTAAAAAGCCGTCAAAAGTAGAGAGATGAAAACAATAGGTCAAGACTGCCATGTTATTTACTTATGTAATTCATTCAATTTATCTTACAATCACATGACTTAATATCGGAAATGTTGAAATCAAGTATGGGCAAATAAAAATACTTCATTACATTACAGACTCAATGTAAATAGATATACACAAGATGTGGTTCTCATCATGCAGAATCCTTTTAAGCCCCCCGCCCCACTTTGAGTGAGTCTGTAAAGTCTAACTTCCTCCATAAAATTGGCTAAGACCAATTAATCTCTATTTACATTATTCAAATTATTGTCCTCATCTTTGTCACCATATTTATTACGTTTCGGGCATTCTACGCTCCAGCCTTCTTCAGGTGTTTGGAATGTTGAACTGAACCCTTTATTTCGCTCACTGGGGTAGACTGTTCTAATTCCACGTGCCATGTTTAATGGATGTCAGTTATCAGTTATTTCCTGTTAATTTCCCTAAGGCAGTGGAGAACTTTCAGAGGGGAATTAACAGGAGATAACTGATAACTGACATCCATTAAAATTACATATAGAAACATGCATCCATATATAGGATTCACTTCAATTTGCAGGTCTGTAGTAATGTTTCAAATGTGACTATGAATCAGTAGAGTATAGTTGTAATTGGGTTCCTATTGAAATCTTACACAATTTTGGTGATAACACTCAATAGACCAGATGCCCTATCCTATAGTATTATCAAGTACTGGTATTGGCATTTCAGATATGGTCAAACTTCAGTAGAAATTATCCTTTTTTTCTGAGTTGCTTTCAATTTACCATCCAGCAAGTGGAGACTACCATCTCAGGAGCCTGCAGTATAATCATTCAGGAACTTGCAGACAGAGCAATGATTAGTATGAGGTTTTGTGGGGGAAAAAAATATCATATCTGTATATGCATAAAGTGTCAGTACAGTGGATTCCTCATTTGTTCAAAACTTTCCTAAAAAAAAGCCAGAGTCAACTGCCCTATAAACCTTTGGTTATGTTTCAGGAACACCAAGAAAACCTCTTTTCCCAACTAATTACACAAGATAGACTCATAACTGGCCCAAAATTTAAAGCAGACTCCAAATAATAAAAGCATGGTGATTTTCCACCAATCAAAAAGGCATAAGTCCAACCCTCTGCTGAAAAGATGATGATGATGATCTTCTTAATTATGCTATCCTAAAGAGTATTTGTTATGCCTCATTGCTGTTGAAATTATGAGAAGCCATCAAAACTCATAGATGTGATATGTACTGTGTATGGGTATAAGTATACACCAGTATTCAATTTTCATGTTGCACAAATGGAAACATGCTTATCTGGCTATAAATTTCTTCTCTATTCCCATATTTTCTTGAACAATAACATCTGATTTTCACTATTTTTCCAATATAAAGTTATATTTGAAAGGCAGGCTTCATTTTCCACAATTAAGACATATTACTGAAAGGTTGTCCTGGCAACAGGACCATCCTACAAGAAAGATCTCCTCATCAATAAGTACATCAAAAACAATGGTAAAACTGTGTCCTTTTGGATGGAAGATATGTAAAGAATGATTAATGTAGCAATTTTTCTATTTCTTCATCGACCAGAAATGGATCAGGATAAATTGTTAATGAACATCCCTGACAATACCTTTGTCAGTGGCTGCTTGAGAACAAAAACACTGGATCTTGCAACTGTCTTTTATCAAGCAACAGCTGTGAAACAAGTTCAACACTGTTCTGAATTATACTCTGTATTATAGACAATGTTTTACTGCAGCTCCTTCCAGTAATAATGTAAACAAATGTACTGGTTGTGACAGATCGTCTGGAGAGTAAACACTGGCTGCTGTTGTCTAAAGGATAGAAATGTTTCTTCTCTGGTAACAATATGAACTTTCATCAATATGGGTTAACTACATGAAATAGAGGTGTCAGAAATGGTCATTTTGCAATGGTATATATCATTCATCAAGGCCTAAGACATCTGCTGCATTTCAGTCCCCAACTCTTGCTATGATGGCAGCTACCTCAGAAACTTTATCTCCTGCTTCTAATTGGGTTAAATTAAATGAGGAAAAACAGAGCACTTATAAACAAAGGATCAGTACTAAACTTTCTACACTGATCCTTTGTTTGCAGGTTACATTTACTAATATATCCAAATTCCTAATATTGTATCTAGAACATCAACTTCAATTACTTCTGGCTATTGTTTGATAAATGTAGAACTAAAGAGATATCAGTATCAGAATGAGGCTGCCTAATTTATATCGTAGTCATCTTTGAACTGGACTTTATGAAACAATCTCACAGCATCTGTATAAATTTCTGTTGGAAAAAGCTTCCATTAAATGACTGGCTACTTTTTTTCGTTTCCCCTCCTCAACTTTTTTTGCTAATCTTACCAATGATTGTAGCTCAGTAGCTATGAAGCCAAGAAAATATAGTACTCCAGACAAACACTTAATTGTAACTGAGGTGAAGAGACTACTTGTAGAAAGGATAAGAGTTAAGCACTTATTTCTTGGCAAGCTCAAATTGTAGTGACTACTAATGAACAGCACAATAAAAATGGTATTTATTTAATTTCAGACTGTGAACTCTTTCACTCTGTTAGATATTTAGCTCTTACCAAGGATTGTTAAACTGACAAAATATTGATTTCATAGTATGGTTGAGATAACATCAGACTAGCATTGTGTTTCAACATTTGATGAATTTAAACTATACAGTGCTTGTGAAGCCTATGTTCAGGTATACCAATTCAAACAGATTCTTTTTTGGAAGAACCAGCCTGCTTTCTTTACTTGATAGACAATTTCATCAACATTTCCCTTTTTGACATGTTTGCTTACCTAGATCTGTTGAGAAAAGTAACGAAGAACATGACTTTAGCCTGAGGAGGTTGACTGAGATGTTTTGAGATGTTCAACTTGACCTGCAATATGACATTCTCTGCAGCTTCCATGTATCTACTGGGATAGACACTTTTTTAGGGTAAAATTAAACCTGATCCTGAAAGACTTCAAGCACTAACAGAACTTCTTCAGGATAAGAATGCAATACATCACATTGTAGGTATGTTTTCATAGTAGTTTATTAGATAGCCAATTACTGTGAAAAAATTACTTCTCTCATGCAATTTAAAACATTTCCACTTTCAGAGATAACTGGACAGGCTTTCAAATGTTTTGAAGCTCGCACAGAAAACATCGTTAAACATTCTATTGAATGTATAATGTATATCGATGAATAAATTCCTTTTCTTTAACCATGGATACATTTGATCACACTATTAATACCACCTTGAATCACACTGGTAGACCAAAATGTTTTCTTTTCAAGGGCATTAAATACAAGTGAACAATAACACTGAACAATTTAAAAAGACATCTATTATGTAATGAAGTCTCATGACACTATTTGACTAAATATCAATTTA